AATAATAATGATAAACGTTACAGTGCAAACGATCAAAAATGTCGTAACAATTACAGTTGATCATTTAATAGTTCGAATATGTACATAATATACGACAAAAACTATGTAATAATTCACAGGTGACCATTCAAATGGACGAACTCCTAATCAGATGGCATAGCGATAGATTAATTTTTTTTCGCACAGCTATATGTACACACATATGTAACAATTCATCAGCAATTACATAATGGCGTAGCTATGTAGTATGTAAGGCCACACAAAGTTAAATTTTCGTTTTGCATTACATGGATTTCAGAATCAACGGTCGGCGTCAGATTTTTTTTTTTTTTTTTTTTTTTTTTTTATTCTATAGTAAATAATAGACATTTAAGGTCACGCATAGTTAATTTTTCGCTTTATAAAAAAAAATTGAAAAAATGGGTCAGAGGGTAATGCAAACCGAAAAATTTACTTTGTGCGGGCTTATTATTATTATAATGTAAATAAGTTCTATTTCAAATTTTAGAATTCTCGTATAGCATGACCGTCATAGCAAAATTCCCGCAAGTCATACATGTTTTCAGCTATACGCAATCCCGAAATGTTCTGATATCCTTCCATCTATTTACTCCTACTAATTTATGATAACCAATATTAAAATAAACGTTTTTATACTTTGTTTTAAAAGAATTGGGACTAAAAAAAAAAAAAAAAAAAAAAAAAAAAAAAATTTTGGTCGGCGGGTAATGCAAAACGAAAATTTAACTTTGCGTGGCCTAAAAGTATTACCACATCAAAAAAGTTGAACGGTACGGTCTCACATTTCATGTTACACATTCATGTGATTGTACTGGTATAATTGAATCGAAAGTTGGGCAAAATTTAAAAACGATTTTACTTTAATGGGTCGTCTGAAGCCAGTTAGTAAATTTATATGCATCATGTGAATTTTAATTTACATATTCGAAAAGTATTGCGTTTACACGACGCATTTATATTTGGATTACGCCAGCAAATGGCCAGTGGTAATTTATTTATTGAAAGTTGTCAAAAACATGATTGAGAAGTGAAACAATGGCCAGTGGTAATTTATTTATTGAAAGTTGTCAAAAACATGATTGAGAAGCGAAATAATGGCCGAGATGGCTGGAAACGGCAATGACATCCCGCGAAAAAAGCAATCGTGATTGCACTGGGAGTTGCCGCGGAAGCAGCCGGTGGTTTCCCGCCTGCCGTAGCAAGCCGGCTATGAGCGAAATAAATGATGGAATCACGTGTCAACTCGTCTGGAGTGGGCTGAGTGGGTCGCGCAAATCGAGATCGGCTTGTCATCTCTATTTCGTTCTCTTCGGCCCTTATATTTTACCTTTCCCATTGTCGAGCCTGTTTAGACAATACTATTGCGCCATGCATTGTTTAAGGCTGCGCTTGCATTTGACATTTCCCACGTTGTTGATTTTCACATGCTTGGCTGTAGTGGTGGGGGCTGATGTGTCGTGTGGCTGCTTCTCTTTTCGATCACGTGATTCACATCACTCTGCACGAAAAGTATTGCGTTTACACGACGTATTTATATTTGGATTACACCGGCAAATGGCCGGTGGTGATTTATTTATTGAAAGTTATCAAAAACATGATTGAGAAGCGAAACAATGGCCGAGATGGCCGGAAACGGCAATGACATCCCGCGAAAAAAGCAATCGTGATTGCACTGGGAGTCGCCGTGGAAGCAGCCAGTGGTTTTCCGCCTGCTGTAGCAAGCTGGCTGTGAGCGAAATAAATGATGGAATCACGTGTCCAAAGTATTTATTTGATTCCGTCATTGATGCAGCTTACCTTACCTGCTATCACTGTTTACCTACTTATGCATGTGTGTTTGCACTTATTTTCTTATTACCTTCATTTTCTTCTATAATACGCAATAATTTCCTTTATTACCATTTGTGTCTTTGTACAATACGGCGTTGCTTTCTTTTCGCTTTGTGATTTGATATTTTTTTTTTTTTTTTTTACTTGTCGTTATTACCCACTACATCATCAGGCATGTAACGATGAAACTGAAGTTCCAAAGAGAAAGATTTTTTTATTTTTTTTTGGTTTGACCGTCATATGCCTGGTTTTTTTTTTTTTTTTTTTTACTTTGAGTATGCCCTAATGAGTATATGTGCTATCATCGTTGAGTGTGCTCAGACATATCTGTAGAATGCTTCTGAATCTCAACGGCCTATTTTTTGAATCATGATCAGTTGGACTCCACGCATTACCAGCTTGGTTGTTCCGCCGGCCCTAAAACTGTGTCCTGTGACATCGGCGTCACGTAGGATCGATCTCAGCTTATTGCAAAACCATTTTTTGGTGGACCAGGATCCGTTGGATCTTATGAACAGTAACTCCTTTCCGGGGGCGTATGATGTTGCTGTGCGTCGAATGATATATGCTTTTAATGCTTGTATGGGGCAAAGCTCATCCATTGTCGGGTTTATTACCAGTGAGACCCTGTTTGCTGATTTGTGGTTTTTCGTTCTTGCCAGCTGAATTGTTGCAAATGTCTTTGTTCCAATTTTCTCAAATCTCAATGCCTTAATGCCTGGTACTTTGTCTTCATCCGTCATGTTACTTGGGAGAAGTTCACCAAGCCATAAAAGGCTATTGCTGCTATAGTCCAAAAGAGTAGGTCGTCTGTAGCCTTCATGTTCAAACTCCGTTTCATACGTCTTAGATGGGTCCTTGTAATGTGCATTTTTTGTTTGACTGGTTTATGCCGATGATTTGCCTCTATGGTAATAAGGATTTGTTTTACTAAGGGATCCTCTCTTACTGGTGTCCAATTGCAAGAGTTCATAGTATGGTGGCTCTTTAGCGCAGATAGGTATGATTTGATCGTTGGAGGGAGACTGTATTACATATTGTTGTTATGAAGCTGATTAATGATTCTTTTGATATGGGCCATAGACCGCCATCTTTATTATACCATTGATGCCTAATGGCTAGCGATTGGTATCTCTTTATAACTGCCTCATATGTTCTCTGTTTTGGGGTGTTGACCTTTAAAATGTTTGCTGCTTGTATGTTTAGAGGGGTTTTGCCATTTTTCCATTCTGATGTCCAGTTTAGCTCTTTCTTGCACTCTGTTCTATTCGGTTTTATTGTTTCAGGGATGGGATAATGGAAATTGTGTTAGTATGCTCAATTGGAACATTGGGTTGTAGGTATCGTGCTAGAGGTTCTCTGGTTAGAAATTCTCTGTGGTCGCTTTGGGACAGGAGGTCAGCGTCAACATTCAATCGGCCTGCTATGTGCTCTAGTCTGATTGAGAAGTTACTCTGGAGCTGTATCTATAGTTGTTAGACGAAACCATGTGATGCTAAATGTCACATATCATTATTTAATAAAAGCTAGATTAAATTTTTAGGTATTGGTATTTTATGACAGGTGATGATTATCATCACATGGTTTCGTCTAACAACTATAGGCTGTATCTCGTACATTTGGGCAATGATCATATTTATTCTTTCATTTTTGCAATATCCTGAGTAATACGCCTCTGCATTTGCCAAATTGTCAGTCCAAACAATTAATCTTTTATGGGACCATAGGGGGAAAAAGTGCGAATAGCTACTAGGTTGTTAATATTTCTTTTTCCTGAATATCGTGCTGTTTTGCTGTGTTGCTTGACCACATAAATGCTGTGAAATAACCTTCAAATGTTGCACCACCACCAATATTTGAAGCATTTGTATAAAGGTTATTTATGTTAGGTTGTTGCCAATTCTGGTCTTCCATAAGGTAGGTTCCCGGCCATTGGTCTATTATGTTGTACCACTATTGAATGTCTGCTAGCATTGGTTTTGTCATTTTAATGTGGTGCTTTGGGTTCCTAGAGATCTCCTGTGCCTTTATGAGGCGCTGTACGAATGGACGTCCTTGTGGCATAGCCACATTAGGGAACCAACAAGTGATTGCAGTTCTCTTTTGTAACACCATTGTCTGGTAGACCAGTCTGTAAGTGATTCTTTTATTTTTTGTTTCTTTTGGGTTGGAATCGCTACTGACATCGTATCTGTATTTAATGCTATGCCCAAGAATGTGATTTCCGCACTAGGTCCTTCCAATTTTGATTCCTTAAATGGTACCTTGATAATATCTAATATACGTAGGAACTGCTGGAGCTCTTTTCTTCCGTCTGATTTCGATATAATTAGGAAATCATCTACATAATGAATTATCGATCTAATTCCTTGCTGGGTTGCTATCCATGTTATTGTGTCTGCAAACCTGCAGAAAATGCCGCCTGATGCCCGATTGCCGAATGCGAGAGCTTTGTCGAAGTATAATTTCCTCTCGTAGCTCATGCCTTGTAGGACTTGATCTACTGGGTGTACTGGAAGTATCCTGTATGCATCCTTGATATCAACTTTAGATAAGGAGCATCCTTTGCCATATGCATCGATCCATCTAATTGCGTGTGATACATTCTCATATTTCGTCGCGAACTCCACACCATCAATGCCATCATTTATACTCCCTCCAAACGGAGCGGACAGGTGGAAGATGACTCTAAATACTTTGGGTTTCGTATTCTTTTTCTCGACTAATCCACATGGGTTAATTTGGTACAACTCACATGGTAGTTGTTCTTCAGAGAAAGGTCCACATATACGGCCTTTGATTATCTCGTCCTTCAAATATGTTTCTAGTGCAGTCGGATCTATGATTAGAGATTTTAGTTTCGGTTGAACCATTTTTACTCTTGTATCAGAGAAATTAAATCTAAACCCTTCTGTTAAACCGTTAATCAAATATCTTATGAAGGGTCTATTAGGGTGATGTTCTGTTAGTGTTTTAAAAGCATGAATATCTATAGAAGTCTTTACGTTGAAGTGGCTAGGATCCAGTTGTAGTAGTATCTTGATTTCATCGGCTGTGAATGGAATGGTATTGCAGTTAGTGTTTCGTTCACGGATTGGAGAACTGGTGGTTCGTTTGTTGTCACTATTCGTGATAGCTTAAATTGGGCGCTATGATGAAGTATTGCTCTGGAATCGTTATCTGCATAATTGCTGCGTTAGTTATGTCTATTCTTCTCTTTTTTTTTTATTTTATTTTATTTTATTTTATTTTTTTATTTATTATATCTTTTTTTTTTTTTTTTTTTGAAAATATGTGTTAGGCCGCTCTTGGTCATATGACCTTCTTCTTTGTTTATTTATTTATTTATTATTATTATTATTTTTTTTTTTTTTTTTTTTGTTATGCAGGTCGGTAGATAGCTTGGTTGATATGAGATTTTTTTTTTTAATTTTAATTTTCTATTTGATTATTGCTTCTTGTTGCTGAATTGGGACCCGAAAAACATCTTCGCTCTGTATGGCCTGTTTTCTTGCATAGTAAACATGCATGAATACGACTACACTTCCTTTTGTCATGGCAGTATCTTCGGTTCCAGTTGATACAAATCTCCTTGCCCTCATGCCACGCTGTTTCTGTTCTAGGTAGGCGTGATTTAGTGAACCTCATCTTTTTGGTTGTTGTAATGTCGAAGTTAGTGCTAGTCTTCGGTCCTCAGTACTGCGGCGAATTCATATTTGGTGCATAATACACTAATGTGATCACGGTAGAGGTTTAATTCTTGTTCCCGGTTACTGTACAAAACCAGGATGGCTTCCATATACGCTCTAAATGCCAGGAGCCATTCTGATATGTTTTTGAATCTGCCATGCGCGTGCCTCTTCCGAATTGATATGTATCCACCCTCTGAAGTTTGTAATTGCGATTCGTCACTAAAGTACTTTATATTGGCTTTTATGTTTTTATAGGCAAATTCTTAAAGATCTATATACGCTCCAAACGCGATTGCCTTCCACATTCTTGATGTCAAGTTCAGTTTGCAGGTCAGCATTTCAATAATTTTTTGTTCTTCGGTCCAATTTGTTACCCACCACAGCCTTTTGCTTTCCGTTTCGGCTGCCAGAGGGTTCGTAAAACCTTGTACTACTGGTATTTGCTTAAACTTTTCATAGCTTATTGCGGGGAACTTGTGACTCTTATTTTTGATAACCAATGGTCTATCTATTTGCTCAAGGTTATCTCTGTTCATACACTTGTTCTTCGTTTGTGTTGTTGTCTCCAGCGGCATCATATTTTCTATCAATTCATTGAGAGCTGGGGTAGGTGGGTAATTATCTTGATGTGTAGTTTCTCTTGTGTCTGTTGAGTTCACAGTAGCCGGAGAGGTCAAATCTTCTTCTGTATGCTGGTTGTTGTTGAATTGTCTTTCCGTGCCTGTCCAGTTGGCTTGTTCAAGTTGTTCATTCCATTGTTGTTGATTTTGCACCTGTTGGTTTATCATTTCTTTTACTTTATCGACAAGGACTGTTATTGTCTTCTGGCAAGCTTCGTCGATATAAGCTTTGATTTGTGGGTCTACGTTTATGTTTGGTGTTCCATCATTATTGTTGGTCATTTCGCGCAAATCGAGATTGGCTTGTCATCTCTATTTCGTTCTCTTCGGCCCTTATATTTTACCTTTCCCATTGTCGAGCCCGTTTAGACAATACTATTGCGCCATGCATTATTTAAGGCTGTGCTTGCATTTGACATTTCCCACGTTGTTGATTTTCACATGCTTGGCTGTAGTGGCGGGGGCTGATTTGTCGTGTGGCTGCTTCTCTTTTCGATCACGTGATTCACATCACTCATCAATTTTAAAACTACTTGGTTTTTAATAGGCAGACTTTCGTATGATTGGCTGTTTAAATTAATTTAATTTTTACATTATTTATACAGTTTAAAGTACTTTTTAAAAAAAAGAAAACCACAGAGAACTTACTGTTCACCAACAACTTCCCCACACAGTAAATAAGGGTCTTCGCTTGACCCTAAAACTTCTTAAAAAATTGTAAACTTATATCATGTAATATCATCACTATATATACTAAATAAAGCGCCATAAGCGCACCTTATATATTAAGGTAAATTCAAAAAAAAAAAAAAGAAAACCACGAAGAATAAACAAAAAAGAAGCATATAGAAAGTTTTATTAGGGTTGTAGAACTCCATTATTAAAAATAATCCAAAATCTTTTTTGTTTTAGAGAAGTTGGTATAATAGCGACTTCTTAAAGACAGATAAAATTGTGTTATCACCGTGCTAACTTCTTTAAAACAAAAAGATTTTGGATTATTTTTAATAATGGAGTTCTACAACCCTAATAAAACTTTCTATATGCCTCTTTCTTGTTTATTCTTCGTAGTTTAAATAATGCAAAATTAAATTGATTTGAACAGCCAATCATACGAAAGTCTTCCTATGAAATATTGTTTTAGATGACCTCTTTAAATGGCAGGCCATTGATCGTAATAATGAAGTCATTATAAATGACATCAGAATATCACTCCATCGAAAGTAAATGAGTAAATGATTGGCTTACATGTGCTGCGCAGCAGCACATGTAAGCCAATCATTTACTAAGGAAGAGCGAATTTTTCATCTTACGCCCAATTTAAGATAAGTTCTAACCATAGTAATAGGTTAAAGTGGGAATTAATTAATAAATGATCTACATGCTGTAAAACCACATTCTTGATATATAAATATATAAACCTCCTACTGTATCAAGAAGATAACCGTGACCCTAACTAAATTACACTCCGCTTTAACCTCCCTCTAAAATTAGAAATTTTATGTTACATAAAATAAGTAATGATCATGAGAAAAACGTGCACCAATAAACTTTAAGATTTTGCCTTCGATTTAGATGCTAGTAAAACCATACAATAAGGTTCCTGGTGCTAACATTCCTGGTACGATTTCTTCTAAGCGCTAAAATAACTATGACATCTGTAAATAATTCTCTCATACTTAAATCCCGTTAGAACTACAAATAGTAATAGCAGACTGATAGTCGTCATTTGGTGGCATATTTGCGATCATACTTGCTAAATTTGGTTTAATATTTCCAAAAACCGGATAAAGCATATAGTTAATAATATACAATTTCCTGCAGTAACCTACCCATAACATAGAATCAACAACCGTATACAAAAAATGAGCAATATATATTTACCGCGAGAATAAATTATATCAAAAAAAGGTAACTCCAACTGCATCAAAGCATCTGAGAAATCTTGGTTAGCCCCGATCTCCAAAATTAGTATGTAACAGTAATTATGGCGTATCAAGAAACCAATCTCCAAAATTAGTAAGTATAATGTTTATGAGAAAAACTGTGATTTGTGCAAATGCATTATCCAATGAACTTTAAGATTTTGCTTTCGATTTATTCACCGTAAAACCATACACTTCGTACTTTGTACTACGTTCCTG